TTTTTTATTTTTTTGTTTTCGTCTAAAAAAAAGAAAAGAACAGAACCGAAGCCTAATCCATTATCCATATGTTACAAATTTACAACAGGGTATCGGTTCAGTTACTGATTTGGAAAATTACGGTTTGAAAACCAAACCGGATAAAAAAAAAACGAAACCCATCCCTGATTTGACTCCGTATCTTTGACCGGGTCAATATCCGGTAAATCGGAGATTTCAACCTCTCCGTAATCTCAACCGTACAACAAACTCTATTCGCCTAGCGTCTTAGAGAGAGATCATCACGAACCGGAGAACCACACGGAGTAGAAAACGGCGTCGTTCCGTCGTGATCATAGTCGCTACTAGAGTCAACCTCGTTTTGATCCGTCATGACAAAACCATCTTCCACTTCATCATCTTTCACATGATCCTCCATAGATACGCTCCCACGTGGTTCAATCTCAACCGTCCGATGATCAATCTCTTCAGCGATGGTAAACAGAGTCTCGGAAGGTCCCGTAAGTAGATTTTCTCCTCTGATTGACCACTTCGACGCCACGTCATTGATCGGTGGTGCGGCTGAAGGAAGCGGCGGAGCTGTGGCGGATCCAATTCGGAGATGTTTATTCTCGAGACAGAAGAGGAAGAAGTAAAGAAGCTCTTTTGACGGTGGTGGTGTCGCTGTCGGGTCACCGCCGCGTGAGGAAAACGCGTCGAGTTCTGATCCGGCTATACTCCGGCGACGAAAACGATGTTTCCACCATAAAACGTAAGCGAGCTGTGCCGTGACCGCCACGAGACAAAACGCGAAAACCGCGACGAGTACGGTTGCGGTTTTGCTTAGACCCATTTTTAAGAGAAAACTGCGTCGTTTTGTTGTCGTAGTTATGGATTTTGTGTTTTTAGATAAGAACAGATAAAAGTCGAGAGGGGTAATTTGGTAAATAGTTACTAATTATTGGGCAGTTGAAGTGTCACTATCGGAAAAGAGTTGCCGAGTAGGTTCCGGTTAGAAATATCATTAATAGTCAAATCGGGATTGAAAGTGAAGGTGTACAAATCTACACGAACACGACCCATAATTTCTAAATTTTTCTTCACTCTTTTGAGCTCTATTTTCTATAATTTGTTTTTTTTTTAATGAATTACACAAACAACGAACTTAAAAAATTATAGTTTTACTCGTGAAAAAGAAGAGCATCAAGTATCCACCTAAATAATTTAAATTAATTCACAATCCACCATTATTCAACTAATCATTCATAAAGTCATAAAAAATCTGGGGTTATAAGATCATTTCTAATTTCAAAAAAAAAAATATGAAAGATTTCAAAATATTTGATTACAAGTTTTTTTGTTATATTTGTTGATTAAAAAATTTCACTAGGAAGATGTTTTTTTTCTTTCTCCTTGATTGAATTCGGTTTGTATTTATATACATGCATCTCATGTGAAAGTGATTGTGAGTTTAAAACTAGTCACTGATTGAAGATTTTAAGCAAGATCAACTCTGATTGAAGATTTTGTCTTTCGCTAGTATCGAATCATGAATTTGGATTCATTTTTAATAATTTAAGATTTATAAAAAATGAAACATAAGTCAAGTGTTTTATGTTACTAATCATTGATCACTACAGCTTCGTGCATCTTCTAACATCCTTCCCCTGCTCTGGTCAAAATCCATGTTCACCTTTTCAA